GGAATTCATGGAATGAAGAGCAGTGAGACCGTTGTCCAGAATTTAGATTATTTGAACGTGGCGGAAAAGGTATGATTGAATAGCACTCTGGTCATACTGCTGAACGTAACCACTTATCTCAGCAGCGGGAGTAGACAAAGAAAATTACCGCGAAGCATTTTCCTCGAAGGCGCGAAGGGGCTCCTCGAGAGCATTCGATCGTGCAACGTTGACAGAAGCGTGAAAGTCGACGAGTTATCTTCACGTCATGACCGATGCTCAAGGGGGAACCATGCAGGAATGTTCGCGTAAAACTTGAACGAGATTCTTCGAAAACAAAGGCGTCCCCATACTCTCTGCTGCTCACTCAGCGTATATGCACGGAGCACGCATGCGACGTCTGATCGAAGCCGCATGAGCTCGGTGACTCACCGACGCTCGATCTCAACAGCGTACATGAGCGCAAGCGGCTGAGGATGCTGCTGCACTCTGTTAGACTAAGAGGTAACTAATAATTGAGGAAAGCTTGAATAGATGTCGGGCGCGGACAAATTTTTCAGATTGGCCTCGTTGAGTTCATTTTCTTACAGCCTGCCCTTTAACCTTTATACGCCGAGCATTTCCAAATGCAAACAAAACATGTCAGCGGAAAATGTCTAATTTTGCCATATTCCAAGAGCAAGGAATCTTCCTTTGCACTCCTATAAAAGGTAGATTCCATGATCTTCAAATAGAGCAAAATTCGCATTTTTCCAATTTCATGCTTTGTTCGAATTTGGAAACATTCGGTGTGTAAAGGTTAATTGTACCAAGAACTTGTTGAACTAGAGTAGATACATAATTTGCATCGATTCTAAAGCGTATTCCGAGTACAGAACGGATCTAAGAGGGTTTCGAGCTTTAAGAAGTCTCGTGCAGGAAATTTTTTACGTTTCGTTGTTGATGGGGGAAGTGAACCTCAAAGTATTTTTTCAAAGAAAACCAACTGCAATATTCCCTATTGGACATCATGCTTGACGTCAGTCTGTTCTCCAAAAGGATTATGCCATCGGGCGTACTGCATATCCCGACCTCTGGGATTCAGTTTGAGAAGCTAGTAGTTGACCATTCAGAAGTTAGATAGCAGCAGGTGCTTTGTAGTTGGGAGTCTTCAGGTTCATCTGCTTCCGACACGTTGAAATCCTCCTGCTTGTATGTACGGTGCAAACACATGCACTTCACAAGCATTGCAGTCCTCAGTACTCCGCCTACAACCCGCAAAATTTACCTACAGAAATTTGTGGATCTGAAAAATCAAAATCGTGAAGATGACGTTCATTCTCTTGACATTCCTCGACGACAAAAAGGTATTTAATTCAATGGAGACGGCAATGCGACCCTTCGTGAACGAGGTCAAAGGGAGAAGCTATGTGGAAATAATCGATTTTCACCGTAAAGGTCATGCCACCGTGAGACTGCAAGAAAACAGTGGGAAAATCGACACGAGTAGAGGAGTCAGGCGAGGAGACACTTTCTCGCCCCGGAGGCCTCTCAAGGCCAACCCTCGAAGACGCGAAGTTGGACCGGAATATCAACGGAACGAGACACATACTGCCTTGAATTAGTCGTCGAAACAAAGCAACAGCCCCCGCAAAAAGTGAGACCCGATCGATGGATTTTAAGGGGACTGCATAACTGGACGGAATCTCGGAACGTGACGCTAGACTTGCGTAACGTGTTTTTCTCACTCATCAGCATGAATGCAGGAGACACGGAACGAGAAGAGACGAAAGAATGCCACGGCTTTTCGAGATGAAAGGCGAGATCCGTCGTGAAATCCAGACGAAATCGAGACGAGAGATCGAGAAGCCGAACGAAAACGGAACGTCCGAGATGCGCCCCGAGAAAACGTTTCTTCGTCGCCGTGCATCACCTTCGTTACCGGATCGGAAACTCGGAGGAGAAGCCGAAGATCACGCAGACGAGCACGGTAAGATCGATGCAGAGAATTCCCAGAAGAGACAAAAAAAAGATGTCCCGGATGAAGGAGGAGACACGAGCCGAAGACACGACACACGCTCTCGAGAAGAGGGACCCGAGCCTCTGCATCCAGCACGAACGGAAGACGACCGATCTCCTTAATTAATTACGGAAAGGCAGCCGAGAGAGGGAATGAATCAACGAAGACGAAAGAAAAGTTGCTATCACGAAACGAAACGTTTCCGAGAAACCGAACGCATCGACGCATTCAGGAATGGAAGGAAACGACGCAAACGAAAGCCTCCTCTCGACAGTCGACAGGAAGTGCCCGATGATGATGGCGATGATGATGCCTCGCGATGACGGTGACGGCTCGTGCATCGACTCGATGGGCCTCCACAGGCGGGACGAGAATTTTCCGTCCTCGCGACTCCCCGATTCTCCTCGGGTGGAGGTTTTTCGGCTCGTGTCTCGTCTCGTTTCCTCGCCTCCCCGTTTCGTGACTTCCATAAAAACAAACGTCGGTCCAGTCGCCGAGCAGGTTCCGCCTGCATCGTCTTCGTCCTGCGTTGTTTTTCCCTCTTCGGCATCGAGTTTACGAGGCATTGACCCAGCACGTCACAGGAAGGCGATAAACTCTCTTTATCGTGCACTCGGTGCCACCGAAGGATGCTCATTAGCACCGATCCGAGCACGCCTCGTAAATTACGATCGAGTTTTCGCACCCTCGAATTTAGGGATTTAAAAAAATCAGCAGCTCCGATGCCGTGACCAGGATTCGAACCTGGGTTATTGCGGCCACAACGCAATGTACTAACCACTATACGATCACGGCTGCCGTGGAGCTCAGTTTCTTTACCTTGAAATCAAACTACTAGAACGGTGGAACGAGAAGTGCATGCGCGTACGCCTTTTGCGGCCGAATGCGTGCGTGAGTGAAAGACGAGAAAGCGGGTCAATCGCCACTCGATTGCGAAGCCGTGCCGCGATCGCACCGTTGCAAAATGGGTCTCTCTCCCTTTCCGAGTTCACACATGCCACGGTGTTACCCCGAATTTATCGTCGAGGAAGGCTGCGAGACGAATCCGATGACTTGCGTGGGTCCGGACATCTGCTCGAAGAAGACGAGAGAGCGAAAACGCAGGAATGGAAAAGATGCGTCGAGGCATTTAAAGACTTCTCGCTCGGCATCTCGTCTGCCGGTGTCAGCACGAAGACGTTCGAGAAGTCTGGAATCGATGGCCGTTGATCGATGACGGTTCGCAGACGGCCGAGTCGAAGATCATGCAGGCAGGGCTGCACACGAACACGAAGGAACCAGGTTTTCCGACGTTCCAAGGACTCCCGAGAGAATGCTGTGTATATGATCTGACCTTTAGAAACGCATCCTGTGGCCGTGGGGTGCGACACGATAATTTTCCGCGAATTCGAGCGAGGGCCACCGCGTTCACCGTGATCCGCTTCCGAGTTGGGAACGATGACGTAAATATGATCGGAAAATAAAAGTATTTTCATGGATGTTCTTCGGTCCCAGCTGTGGACCGCGTGCATCAGTACGTCTCCCATATAGCCGCATTCGGTTACTGTACCGAGGGGGAAACGGGATGGAACCCCCGACGCAGCCTGGACCGTGGGATATCTTATCGATTTTTCTATATTATTTCCCCTTTAAGCATCCAGAGCCACAGGTGGCGAGGCATACGCCAACGCACCCCTATTCATGGCTCGTGTCTCGCCCTGCGATCCGAGATGCTTTCATAGCGCATCGTTTCTTGGATTCGAATTCGGCGACGAGGAATTTACTCGGTGATTCTTCATCCGATGCGAAAAAAAGAAAGTGGAGTTAAATTTTAAGTAGAAAGCAGGAGCCTTTTTTTTTTGTCCAAGACTACAATTTCCCGTCTGGCAACGTCATTGTTCTATCATGAGCTCAACGTGCGAAACGACTGCGGTGAGCTCGCATCGAGCATCGCAGATGCCGTCCTCCCAATTTTTTCTCTCTTCCTCGTGCTGAAAGATGCCGTATTGAACTGGGAGAAAAAATTCTCCAGATGAGGAACTGCGATGAGAAAGACGGGATAAAGGAGAGGGAGGGGGAAAAGGGCAGACGAAGGGAGGGGGAAAAAAAAAGAGGGGGAATTCGAGAGAGAGAGAGAGAGAGGAAGGGAGGGAGAGACAGACTAGGTGGCTCGAGTGGCAAGTGCCTGCCTAACCCGAGTGGCGAGTGCTCGTCCTTCTCCTCTCTGCTCTGGCGGGAAACAATGCTCGGTTGCAGAAAATTTTTCTCTCATGAAATTGTACGAACGAATTTTCTCATTTCGAATGCCGGGCTGTTAACGATCCCATAAACTTAACTTTGCGATCCTCATCGCCATTCGATACGAATGGGTAATGGGTACTAATGAAACGGTGTAATATCGATAGGCAGATCTTTTTCCGTCTACGTATCGTTCGTGTCGTTCGCAGAAATAACGAAGTTTGTCGTCTGCTTCTTAAAATAGCACTTTCATGAAACTCTGGAGATTTTCGTGTTGACTCGAGCGCCATAATTTTTGTCCTTTCTACGATCTCTAAGGTATTTCTTATGAATACTGACGAATATGAAAAAAGCCCTTCCTGTCCTTTTTCCAAGTCCGAAAAGGAAGAAAGGGACAGAGGAAAAGGTCGGCCGGTCCCTTTCTGCCATTTCCTCCCCTCCCCTTCCTCTGCTCCCAATCGGCCCCGGCCCGATCTTTCCTTCCCCCTCGGAGTCTCCGGGCCTTGCAAGCAAAAGCAACTGACTTGCATTCCATGGCTGTGCCTGTTTGACAAGCCGGGGCTCTCCGAAGGGCCCGTTCCATGAAAACCGCCTACAGTATATTGTAATGGGGGAATGGTGGTATGGAAGACTGGAAGGTTGGTGCGTAGCCCTCGCATGTCGGAACGGTCCGGCTCCCCTTCGTCCCATTCCCCCCCCCCCCCTCTTCTCTCTCAGGGTTGGCTATGTGCCAAGGAGAAAGCTAAGGCAAAAGCGAGTGCTGCGTTGCGAGTGCTTGCCAGTCCCCTGCGGGAACTCGTCGGGAATGGATCGCTCGCTCCCACTCCCACTCTCACCCGCAGTCAAGAAACTCAAATGTGAATCGGATTGCACGGTGTTGGACGAGCCGGAGAATCAGACGCATATTTCGTGTCTGTATCCCGAGATCCTCACGTTGATCTTCGGCTACCTCGACGTCCGAGATAAAGGTCGTGTGGCTCAGGTGTGCGTGACGTGGAGGGACGCAGCTTATCAGAAATGCGTGTGGAAGGGCGTGGAAGCCAAGCTGCATTTACGGCGCGTCAACCCGAACCTTTTCCCCAGTCTCGTCAGACGGGGAGTGAAAAAAGTCCAAGTCCTGAGCCTGAGGCGGGGTCTCCGCGATGTGATAAACGGGATTCCGAACTTGGCATCCTTGAACCTTAGCGGATGTTACAATGTGACTGACATCGGGCTGGGCCTCGCCTTCACTCAACAGTTGCCTCACCTCACCGTACTCAACCTGAGCCTTTGCAAACAGATCACGGACGTGAGTCTTCAACGAATTGCTCAAACCTTGAAGAACCTGCAGACGCTCGAGTTGGGCGGGTGCAGTAACATCACCAACACGGGTCTCTGGTTCCTGGCATTGGGGATCGAGGGACTGAAAAGCCTGAATCTTCGGTCCTGTCGGCACATCACGGATCTCGGGATCAAGAACGTGTCCGATTTCTGGAAGGAACTGCGAAGTCTAGGGTTGCAGGACTGCCAGAAATTGACGGACGATGCACTCAAGTTCATCTCCGAGGGCCTCCCGAATCTCCGGAGCATCAATCTGAGTTTCTGCGCCAGTATTACGGACAGCGGCCTGAAGTACCTCGCCAAGATGTCTAACCTGGAGGAGTTGAACCTCCGATCTTGTGATCACATCTCGGATACGGGGATCGCCCACCTGGCCGAGGGAGGATCCAAGATCTCCTGCTTGGACGTCTCTTTCTGCGACCGGGTCGGGGACCAGGGGATGCAGTACATCGCCATGGGGCTCTACAACATCCGATCTCTCAGTCTCAATGCATGCCGGGTCTCGGACGACGGCATTTACAAGGTCACGCGGACCCTCAAGGATCTCGACACGTTGAACATCGGTCAGTGCTCCAAGATCACGGACCGAGCCCTGCAGTTGATCGGGGAACATTTCAAGAACCTCAGATGCATCGACTTGTACGGGTGCACCAAGATCACGACGGTGGGCCTGGAACGGATCATGCAGTTGCCCCATCTCTCTGTGCTCAATCTCGGCCTCTGGCATAAGCGATGAGGATAGCCCTGCCTCGATACAAATATAGGCATGTAATCCTTGTGATAAATGCTCCCGTCTCCAAGGTAACGCCATCCAAGAAAAGAGTATGGTTTTTGTTTGTTTTTTTTTTGCTTAAGTTTTGTCTACCTCAACGAGACTGATTGCTGAGGCCGAATCGGATGTTGTTGATGTCGCTCAATGTGCAATGCTCTAGAAATATCCTTTTTTGTTACTCCAGATTGTATATATAATCCCGCGATGCGATTGCATGATCATGTGATAAGATTTTCTTTTCAATTTTTGTGCTTTTTTCTCCCTCTTTCCATATGAGCTTAACGTTTTTGTCACCTGATCGCGAAACGTCCTTGCTGGCCCTGCAGGGTGTGTTGAAACTTCGGGAGTCTACAAGTCCAAAGAAAGTTTTATTTTTGCCCAATACGAATTTGTGTTCTCATTCCCGAGTGCTTCGAGCTACTCCATTCCGTGAAAACGTCGCAGAAGAGAGGGTCGGAAAAAGAAAAGAAGAGAAACCCAGTGGGTTTCTCATCGGGGAGTCCCTATAGGTCTCCCTTTGTGACATTCGACACTGTCCTCAGGTGTTCCATTCCCTTTTCTGACGACCATGTCACATTTTCCTCTTCTCCACCAGGAAATCCAGCCCGTATTGACAAGTTCATCCTACTCTGCATCTTTCACGTGCTGCCTATGCGTTGCTGAATGAATCGGAACCAATGATAGGGCACTCGCCCGCGTGAGATCGCAATACTTGAATCCAGTGGCGGCTCATAGTCTGCTGCAGTAGTGTCAACCCTGACTCCATTGCTGAAGTTCAGTGGCATATTTTGGATGAAAAGTCTGGGGGGGGGGGAGGAAGGCAGCAGAGCGGGGCGCTAAACCCCACCGGAGCAATATCGGAAGCAGGGGATGTGGGCGCCGCCCCCCCCCCCCCCCCCCCCCCCCCCCCCCCAGGGGGGCGCCCCCCCCCCCCCCCCCCCCCCGCCGTAAAATACGCCACTGCTTGGGCTGTTGCTGCTGCTTTTGCGGATCACGTGCTGCCACTGCTTGAGTCTATGTTCAGGTTTCGTCCTGTATGCCTAATTCCATTCCAAGGAAGGGAAAACGTCCGCCTTGCCATGGAAGTCCGGACGAGAGATGCATCGATTCTCTTGCCTCCCAAGCTTGGGAACCTTACACTCGGCGAAGGCTCGGGTTGTTTATTTGTCGTAAGGGCCTGAACGAGCGATTGAAGTGGAGCTCAGTGTCCCCGAAGTGAATGGTGGAATGGAAAATTCTTCTTTCCAGGGAGGAAAGACGGTCCTGTTTTTTTTTTTTACTTGCTGTTTACCACAATCCAGGACAAAGGGGGGGAGGCTCTATTGTAGAGCACCTGTCTCTCTCTCTCTCTCTCTCCCTTCCATTGAACTGAATCCCATTCCTCCTGCGGCCATCCATTCACTTTGCAATGCAAGACCCTATCCCTCTTCCGAGAGTCCTCATCTCGTCTTCTATCTCGTCTTTGTTTCTCGGCTGCGATCGTTCAATGTGGTCAATTCTCATCTTTGAACTTGTAACTCAAGTGCCTACCTTTATTATAGTCACATCCACCATTATTTAGAGATGATGTAACCCGATACGAGGCATGACGAAGACACGTAGCGAAATGGGACCCTTCCTCGTGCAGTTGTCCATCGTCGAAACTTCCACGGTCACGCAAGTACCGCAAAATCGGTGCACTTCCTCCCCGAAATCCCCGAGTATCGCCAAGTTTTATCCATAACGGCTCCCTACTTTCGGCAATGTGAAAATGCGCGGCTGGGGTTTCCACCGCTTGCTCTGGCAACCAAACACGCAATTCGCCTCGCAGCAAAAACCACTGAACCGATTTAGACAGGAGGTACCGATGAACTCTTTTCGCCCCGGGGGTGTGCCTTTTTGAGTTATTGAAGCGCTGCATTGGACAAAATTCCCAAAAGACCGGCAGGAGCTTCGAGCAAAGGCCGACTCCCTTCTCTCCGCGTGTGTCAATATATACGGAACCGATTAAGCAAACGAAGTGCCGACAAACTCTCGTCCTAAGGGTTCTGATGCTTGTCAGGAATACTGACTGAGTACTGCCGGTACTAAGAAGTACTAGCAACGAACTAATGAATAACTCTAAAAACTGACGCGCATAAGTTTGTTCTAGCTGATGGATGCTTTATTTAATACTGAGATTGGGTGTGAACGTGGAGTTACTTGAAATTACTTTCATGTTAAAAGGCTGGCCGCACTTGAGCAAAAGTTATTGAACAGTTATTGACACATAGGTACCGATGGTCGCGTTTAATCTTGTTGGTTGTCCAGTGCTGGCTCTACTATAAATACTTTCTGGATTATTCGAGTTGAACTGGACGAAGAAGTTATGTGTTGACGCACTTGAGCACAAGGACCTTTCAGAGGCATCCACGACTAAGAAAGTTATTAATAATTAAAAAATGAATACTTTTCTGTGGAAAAAAAAAGTCAGGAAACCGTATGGCAAACACTACGAGATTGATTTTTTTTTAAAGTGACGTAACGGTGGACTTGCCTCGCATTTGTGGCTATTGAATTGCCCCGGGAAAATGTATTCCCGAATGTAGTTCGATGAGAAGGAAGTCAGGAAAATTAAAAGGATTGTCCGAGGCTGATAACGAAAGTTTCCTCGCAAACTTTTGCTTCCGTCAAAGCACTAGGTACTTTTAGTCCGTAAAAGCATGTTCAGCCATCGAGTCCATGGATATTGGCCAGGATATTCGCAATAAGAAAATGGAATGCTGAACGCTCGAGGAATTTATACGAGTTCTACGGTGAGGAAATAAATAATGTCCCACCCCGAATCGCTCGTCTGCGAAGCACTTTCGATATATCATGCCGAGGTAGGTGATTCATACGCCACGAAGTTGCTTCATTGCGATCCCACGCGATTCTTACCGTTCGGACCGGCCGCATCTTAGGTTGCACATGATGCTGCGGACGGTTTGAAATCCTCTGACCGAAGAGCAGCGCCGAAAACGATTCATTTGAATCTTCGTGAATGGAAAAGAAAGGGATTAGGCTTTCGGGGAAGATTCTGATGCGCAGGTCGTGCACGTCCGATCGCATCGTGTGTCGCCGTGTCGAAAGTGTCGGCCTATTTTGGCCCACAAGGCATGGGCTTGCCAAAACATCATGCACGAGCGGGAATATTTTTCTTCCGCAAGGAAAATAATTACATCCCGGAGTCCACGACGTCGGCGCCGACGACGAAAGCCCGTATTCCCCAGACGAATCCCGTCGACGTTTCCCCGAATTTCCGACGCTCGAAAAGCCTCGGAGATCCTCGGAATGCACGGAGAATGCATGGGGGATGACCCAGACAGGTCAAGCCGGACGAGAAAAGAGGGAAAAAGAAAGGAAGAAAGAAAGAAGCCCCAGGCCGTCTTCACCAAACAATGGAGCGTCTCCTAGACACCTCCAGGCCATTTTTCCCCCCTTCCATCCCTTTTTATTCATGAGGGAGAACCGGTTATAGAAGGGAGAACGTTCGACTACCTACAGATCTGTAGGCACCGCGATCGAAGACATCTGGTGGAGGATGTCAGAAATAGACGCGGAACATCCCCGATCTCGTTCGGGAGGCGATCGGCATCGCGAACCTCGCGAACCCCGCGAACGCTCGCATCTGGATTTCGCTGCTGCTGGCCTCGACAGGGTCAAGGACAGAACTGGATCCTTTTCCTTTCCACGTCAGCTTTCTTTGTGCAAGGGATCGTAACGGGGGCGCGCTTTCTTCCATGGCGGTAATGCCGGGTCGTCTCGCACTTCTCTAACTGATTCCACTTAAAGATTTTTTTTTTTCCCTTATGCTAAGAAAATGGTGAAATTTGAGGAACGCGCGGCTCTCGCTCCACCGGTTTGCGCGTTTCGTCACGCCGAAGAGCTCTGCCGTGTTTCGGTCGGGGGTGTCCGTCGTCTATCACCCTTGGTCGTTCTGCGAAGTTGTCTCGTAAATTTTCGTTCAGAGGAAGGGAAAGGATGCGTTCGTGACGCTGGGAATGGAAGTGTGAGAAACTTGACTCTTCGAAAAGGTCGCTGCATTTACCGAGAACTATCATTATGGCTTCCAGGAATGAAATTATATGAAAAATATATATATTGTGGGACAGGGGAGATGATATTTAAAAAAAAAAGCAAATTAAAGCTCAGCTCTTTTTTTTTCATGTGAGACATCCTAAATGCTTAATGGCTCTTGAGAGAGCAGCTGGAAAGAACACATCGGCGGACTTGGCTCCACTCCGAGGTTAAGTGATTCTTCGTGGAATGCCCCACCACCTCAAGCCTACCCCAACGGCCGAGGAGATATAATGCATTCGTTAAAAATTCACCTTACGGAGTGGAAACTCTCGTCGCCTATTGGTCTGATGGGATCTCGGATTTCTCCGGCTGAGATCGCCCGGGCCAAAACGGATGATGGCCCGGCATGAACGGATGATAGTCCGGGCCAAAACGGATGATGGCCCCTTCCCCTAAGGGAGAAAGAAGAAATTCCTGCCGGATAATAGGGAACTGCAACCCAGTCCCCAAAAGCCTTCATTTAATGAGAGGTTCGGAGCCCCTAAAGCCACGTTCCATTCGTGCCTCGTCTGAGGAACTCCTCGGACACAAAGGTCCGTCCCGGTTCCTTCCATCCTTGGTCATTTCCGCCACAATTAGCCGCGTTTTTAACGACCGGAACATATGGCGTAAGTGCCATGAAAACGGGAGATGGATATCGCACGCATTCCACCCTTTCTTTATTTATGTCCTGCGTTTATCCCCGTGCCTGGAATTTTTCGAGACTCGGATCCCGAACCGACGACGGTCGAGTTTTTTCTTGCGTTTTTTCGGCATCGTTCGTGTCTTTCCAGCCCGAAGGTAATTTCGGTGATGATGCACACGAATCCCATCAATCATGGGAGAAGATGACAACGGATTCGCACCACTCCCACTATTTCCTCTCTCCTCCAATCATTTCCTTA